TGTTATAAAAAGAAACACTGTATAGTATTGTAAAGTTCTGATGACTTATTGAAGAGATATTTAAAATACAATTTCGATGAACAATCCTCGCCATCCCTACATAGGCGGTGCTGTCCTCTGCCTGATATATACATGCACACATATACAAAGAAAACAGAACTATGACAATTTTAACTTTAAAACACTTATCAAAGGTGGAGAATATTATGAAAAAGCAAATGTTGAAACATATTGAATCAGGGGAAATATTATTGAGTTACAAAAAAAAACTTTTTTTTTACGTCAAACATTAGGCAAAAAAAAAGAAAAATTAAAGCTGCAAAAAATCAAAATGGCGATTTTGATTGTTCCTCCTGGCCAAGATTTTAAAGACTAAAATCAGCAGATACAGTAATTAACAATTCATTATTTCATAATATATTTTACGTTACATATATTTCCTTAAATATTTCAAGACTTATCTCGCATTTAAAAGAGATCAGATGCACGTCATTGTAACGGATCTTTCTGTCTGTTTTCTGTGCACTACAATGTGACCCGTGAATAGTAGAACGACCCTGTTTCTTTATTCACCAAAAATAAAGTTTATTTGGTTGATATATGAAGTAAGCAGTCTACAATTGTTGGATTGCTCTGGAATATGTCCTTATGAAAAGGTATACTGCAACAGTATGAACTTAAACATATGGGCCTAAATTCAAATGAGATTGTCTTAGCGAATTAGCATAAGTTTTCTTATCAGAGTTATAAAAACTCAAAACATATGTACATAAGTATAACGTAGAAATTGAAAGAAAAACACTTCCATGTAGATAATAACACAAACTTTTGTTTTAGATTTAGTTACAACACTAATGAATATAGCAACATATATTCCTTTCAACTGAATATCGAAGTTTATTATTTGTATATGCAATATAATTTTTAGAGTAAAAACATTAATTTTTATGTCTATTTCAGGTATTCTGTTAAACATGTTACTGCAATGTTTACTCGTGCTCCTGGTTACATGTCCATTCGGTCAGTTGTTTGAGATTCAAGTCCCACGCTCCACTATTAAAAATCCAATTTTGTTAGATGTGCCTCGAAACACAGAGGATAAATCTGATAGCCTATCGGATGCCATCAAGGTCACCAATGCTAGTAACCATTTCGGTTTGGCCCTGTACCACGTATTATCTAGGTCTGGTAATCTGTTTATCTCTCCGTTTAGTTTATCAGCTGTACTGACCATGACCTATTTGGGTGCCCAGGATACCACTGCCCAACAAATGAGTTCTGTTCTTGGTTATCGCCCCGTGGGATTAAAGAGCGCGGGAGTTCTAAATGGGCTGCAAGAAGCCACGAATCTGTTGAACAGTCAAGAAAACGGTTACGATCTTGAGATAGCTAATGCTGTTCTAGTTCAGCGAAGTTTCAACGTACTAAAGAGCTATCGACAAGCACTCACGAGAGAGTTGAACGCCACTCTTCAAGAGGTGGATTTTCAGACCGAAGGAGAGAAAGTCGTTAATGAAGTTAATAGTTGGGCATCCCATCGGACAAAAAACAAAATTCAGAATCTGTTAACCAAACCACTTCCAAGCAACAGTCGCCTAGCATTGCTGAACGCTGTCTATTTCAAGGGAACATGGCAGACAATGTTTGACAAAAAACTGACCAAAACAGGAACTTTCTACAACAATGGCCTAATCCCGACAAGAGTGAATATGATGGAAATAAAAACAAAATTTAAATTTTTCAATGATCCTAATCTTGATGTATATGCTATAGAGATGCCTTATACAGGTCATCACATGTCCATGTTGATCCTCCTACCACATAACAGGAATGGATTACCAGCCCTCGAAAGGGCGCTTTCAGTCCCTTATTTAGAAAATGTATACGCCACCCTTCAGGAGAAGAATGTTTTTGTCAGGATGCCACAATTCAAGCTGGAGGAGAAATACGAAGATATCAAGAGAACACTGCAGGCTTTGGGAATGTCGGACGTATTTGATGAACAAAGAGCTAATCTGGCCGGAATAACTGGGCATCGAGACCTTTACTTGAACAAAGTTGTCCACAAGACACACGTGGAGGTTAACGAGGAAGGAAGTGTGGCTACTGCAGTGAGCTTTGGGGTAAGTATAGTGAGGATCGGAGGCAACATTGCTCCACAATTTGTAATTGATCATCCCTTCATATTTTTAATCCGAGACTCTCGTACTGGCTTAATTCTCTTTATAGGTCGTGTTGCTGAACTGTAATAGACAATATGAACTACTGTTCAAACATACATAATATGATTGGTAGAGGATTAACTTCATATCGTTTTATTAGGCTACGTATCTTTAACTTTTTTTTTTAGTTTAAAGTATTAAATATGTACTTCACAGAATATGTAATGTTTTATCTATATACTTCCAAGTTGTACTGAGGTTTTAGT